GCTTGGGGCGGCCCTGGTCACCCTCCTTCCTCCAGTTCCGAGACGCTTTCCTCCTCCTCCTCACTGCACCGTCCAATCTGGCGGCCTGCTCGGCCTGCGCTGTGTGTCTCAGTCATCTCCATTTGGGTTCCCTTGTAACTCCGTCAGATCCTTGTCGCTGTTTCCTCTGCAGCTCTCCCTCAGCTGTCTGTCCATCCCCGCGAAGCTCCCCTAGACGCAGAGTCCTGCACACCCTGTGACGCTGGGGGCGCTCACAGGGGTCCTTTCTCTGGCCTCTTACAGACGTGGTGGTTTGAGTGTACGTGTACGAAGAGCAGGGCCGGCTCACTGCTTTCTCCTGCAGTGACTGAGGGGACGGTGGGGTAGCATCGGATGAAGGGCTGTGGGAACGCCGGGACGAGCGGGGCTCCGTCTCCCTGCCCCTCAGGCTCTGATCTGCCCTCTCCCCTGCATGGGATGAGCGCGGTACTGTGTCCGCGTCCAGCCCCAGGCCCCTGGGAGCGCGGCTCTTGCCCACTCAGCACCCGCCTGCCACACACTCACTGGGCAGCCATCAGGCGAGTGCAGATGCTTTCAAAGGCTCACCTGTCGAGGGGCCTCTCAGTAAACTCTGAAGTCACCTGCCCAGAGAGGAAGCCCACAGCGTGGACCCGGGGACCTGGGGACATGGGGTGGGCCCCACTGCCCACACAGCACACCCGGGGCCAGGCCAGGGCCGCATAGCTTCCCGCGTTAAGGGGCACAGACTGTGTCAGAGCATTGGATACAGCGGTTCCTTCCCGCCAGGCTCCCTCCTCCCTTCTGTCTTCTGGAGACCCCTTTGGAGTGTGCACCTTCCAGACTTCTGACCTAGGTCTGTCTTGAGAGAATGGAATCTGTCCCCCCCTCCTACCCCCTACATCTGGCTCTTCAGGGGCTCCTGCTATCGGATGAAGGGAAGGAAGGGGAAACAGGCAGTCTGATGACATGGTGGCAGGGAGGCTGCTGGCCTTGCCTACACCTGTCTGTAGGCCTCACAGGCATGGACGCTGCTCTGTGCCCAGAGGAGCTCAGCAAATCCTGCACAGCTGCCCCCTGGGACCAGGCAGGGGCTCTGCCCTCCTGATGGCCTGACTGGGGAGCAGGGGGCTGCAGGGGGCTGGAGACCCCACTGAAGGCCTATCACAGCACACACCCAGGCTGAGGCCTGCACCTCCAAGAGTGAGGGGTGAGTCGCCAGACTGCCCGACTGCTGTTCTCCAGCGCCAGCTGGGCCTGCGGAGGACTTCTCTCCTGTGGCCATCTGGACCAAAACGGCCCCCAAACAGGAAGAGACCAAGGGAGCCTACTGGGGTGCAGGTGCAAGCTGGGCTGGCACTCAGCTGCAAGGGTTCCCAGGCACCCGGTTCGAGGAAGGAACCTGGGCTGGGCCATGGCAGGGCAGGGCTGGTGTGGGACCCGGCTCCCTCGCCTCTATGAGGACACAGCCTGGGAGGTTGTCTGGGTTGAGGAAAGGTCAGGTGAGGCTGGACCCTCAGTGGAGGTGGGCAGGGGCGTTTGTGACCTCTGGCCTGTTACTGTGACCCTTGTCAATTCCACACTAAAACAACAGCTTTGAAACCACCCTCACTTCCCCCCTCCCTCAAAGGGCACTGTGGGAGTGAAAGGCCACTTTCACCAGGGCTGTGGGAGGGAGCCTTCAAAGGCACCTCTGACAGTTTCTGAGAGGCCCTGGGCAGCAGTGCGCACGCCTAGAGACTATGCCTGGTAGGGCCTGTGCTGGGGTGGCATGATGGACGTGCGACTCTTCTTAGTCGCTCTTTAAATTGTCACTTTTAAAATCTTATTTAATGACAAATACAT